AGTACATATACTCGTGATGTTACGACTTTAACACTCGTGATGTTACGACTTTAACACTCGTGATGTTACGACTTTAACACTCGTGATGTTACGACTTTAACACTCGTGATGTTACGACTTTATACTGGTAATGTTACGACTTTATACTGGTAATACTGGGAGTGAGTCGTAGCGGACGGAGAAAAGATTCAGCATCGGGAAGGGGGCGGTACCGGTAGCTCGCAGCAGATCCAGCAGCCGCTCCCTCTTGGCGAACTTGTCCACTTCAATTATCGTCTGCTCCACGTCGCTGCAGGCTCCGCCCACGATCCCCACGGCCAGAAAGAGGTAGTCTGTCCTCAGGAAGTCGGCGGCCAGCCTGCAGACGGAGCAGAAGGTGAGTGAGGGGCGACCCGGGTGGGGCGGGACGGCGACGATGGCGGCGCAGACCTCTGGATGTCCTCTGGGAAGGTGGCGCTGAACATCAGCGTCTGCCTTTGCTCCTTGGCCGGCATCCCAGGCGAACCCACCAGGCGACGCATTTCCGGCTCGAAGCCCATGTCCAGCATCCGGTCGGCCTCGTCCAGAACCAGGTAGCGGACCTTGGTCAGCCCGACCTGGAAGGAGAACCGTTAGCTGCAGGCTGGACCGGAACCGGAGCAGTTCCTTTCCTGCGTTACCTTTCCTCTCCCGATCATGTCCAGCAGGCGTCCCGGCGTCCCGCACAGGACGTTACAGCCCCTGATGATGTCCTTGATCTGGTAGCCGGTGCTGACGCCGCCGTAGACCACCACGGGTCGCACGCAAGTCCTGAAACCAGACGGAGAAGTCAGACCAGGATTGGGTGGCGATTTTTGCTCCCAAACGCTCCGCCTACCCATAGGCAAATTTCCGGGCCTCCAGGTAGATCTGGTTGATGAGCTCTCTGGTGGGCGCCACAATGATGACCTCTGGTTCCTGCGTCTCGCTGAAGTGGCTGGCCGCCACGCCGTCCGCCATCAGCTGCTGCAGGATGGGCAGCAGGAAGGCGGCCTGTAAGGGACAAACATTAAGCAGCCGCCCCGAGGATGGCAGTGGGGAAGCCACCCCGGTGCTCACCGTCTTCCCGGAGCCCGTCTGGGCGCAGGCCATCAGGTCTCTGCCGGCGGCGATGATGGGGATGCTGTGCTTCTGCACCGGCGTCGGCTTCACGTACCCAGACTTGCTGATGTTCTTCCGAAGGGTCTCGCACAGGTTGGCCTCATCGAAGCTCTGGGGAGGAAACTGTTTAAGCGGGGGAGGGAACCGGGCCTCAGGGTTCTGCAGTCGCCGCCGGGTCACCTCCTACCATGAACGCTGCGGGCGAGTCGCTGCCGCTGATTTCCACCAGGATGTCGTCGTACTTGTTGAAGTTGATGCCGCTCTCGTAGTGGGCGAAGATCGACTCCTCGTCCTCGGGAAGGGAGGGAGGGATGTACGTCACTTTGGGTTCTGAAAGTCAGAACCAGAACCGGGTTATTAGGGAGGGGTTCTGGGTGGAGGGGTCGGCGTTCGCTGTAAGGAGTTCCACTTACTGTCGCCATCAGCGTCCTCTTTCTTCTCTGGATCTTTGTCTTCTCCTGCAACCACAAAGAACGGGTCAGAATCTAACGGTTCTGGTCNACCCGGAACAGAGGCGTTAGAGCAGAAGGGAAACAGGAAGCAGAACCAGGAAGACGCCGCCTCACCTTTCTGGAGTCTGTGGAGCCGAAGGTCTTGGAGGAACTGAAGCCGCCGTTCCCTCGACTGCCTGAAGCCGACTCCTCCAGCCAGGACGGCACCTCCTGCTGCGCCTGAACCCACCAGAACCCGCGGTTAGAGGCCGGGCGGAGCCGCTAGCGCTAACAGCTAGCAGGACTCACCTTGGACAAGATGGACACCAGCGCCGGGGCCAGCTGGTGATCTTCGTCCGGGTTGAAGAACGACACCGCCTTCCCCACGTTGCCGCAGCGGCCCGTTCTGCCGATGCGGTGGACGTAGTCGTCGATGGTTTTGGGAAGGTCAAAGTTCACCACATGCTGGACGTCCGGGATGTCCAGGCCGCGGGCGGCGACCGAGGTGGCCACCAGGACGGGACACTTCCCGCTGCGGAAGTCCGCCAGAGCCAGCTCCCGTTCCCGCTGCTCCCGGTCTCTGCCGACAGAAAACAGCGTGAGAAACGGCGGCCGGGGAAACGGAGGCGGAGCGCCGGGCGGCGTTGGTACCCGTGGATGCTGGTGGTTGGAACCTTCTCCTGACACAGGAAGGTGGCGATGAAATCCGCCTGCCGCTTGGTCTCCACAAACACCATGGTTCTCTCCGTTCCTGTGGGCGGAGCAACGAAAGGAGAGTAACAGTGGATCAATGAGCTGCGATCTTTCTCAGTTCGGAACCGTCCTAAAATTATTCTGGGAAAATGCGTAAAACTAAAGATGATTCTAAGATGGAATATTCCTGAGTCGCAATTTCAATAACATCACAGCAAGGCTAAAAGATCAGAGCCGGGATAAAAGGTGTTTCTATTTCAAGAATAAAGTCCTGATATTACTGGAACAAATTAGCAAAGTTACGAGAATAAAGTCACTACGAGAATAGTCACAATATGGTCGTAACATTACGAGAATAAGGTCACTACGAGAATAGTCACAATAAGGTCGTAACATTACGAGAATAAGGTAGCTACGAGAATAGTCACAATATGGTCGTAACATTACGAGAATAAAGTCGCTACGCGAATAGTCACAATAAGGTCGTAACATCACGAGAATAAAGTCGCTACGAGAATAGTCACAATAAGGTCGTAACATCACGAGAATAAAGTCGCTACGAGAATAGTCACA